CCTGCAGACGGAAGGGCCCCGGTGAGGCCGGCCCGGGAAAGGCCCCTCCGGACCCCGGCGCCCCCTCCCACCGGCGGGCCCCGTCGGGCTCCATCCCAGGGCAGCCAAGGCCCCAGACACGGGGGGCTGAGTGGAGAGTGGGGACCAGGATGGAGGGCAGGGGAGGCACCGGGAACCCAGAGCCCAGTCTGGGCACATCCATGGACAACCGAGCTCTGCACCCTGGGCCCTGTGCTGAAGGGTCCAGGAGGGGAAGCTTCAGCTGCAGAGACAGGGACGGTCCCACCACTGGACGCTGAGAAAGAACCAAACCCTGACGGCCTGGGCTATGCCAAGAGCTGCTCAAGCCCAAGACCTCCAGCCACCAGAGAAGACACCCCAGAATATAGGGGCAGCCCCCCAGAAGTGGGGGCAGAGCTGCTGAGAGGAACTAGGAGTGGCTGTTGCAGGGCTTCCCACCCAAGAATGGGCAAGGCCGTCTCAGAAGCACGAGCGGTGCGACAAGCAGGTGTCAACCAAAGGCAGCCAGAACAGGAGGAAGGGGAGGTCAGGAAGGAGCGGGCCGGTGCGCTGACTGTAGGTGAGGGGACAGCAGGGCTGTAGCCAGCGGACACACACACTTGCCAGAGAGCTGCTCCCCAGGTGAGGGCTGCCCTGTGAAAAACACTGAGGCTCCACCCAGGACCTCATGGGCGGGCCAGGGATCGCTGCCTGCCGGGAGGTTGCTGATGCAACCGCAGGGGCTGAGGTTCAGTAAGGGTGGGTGGAAAGAAGAAAGAAAGGGGGAATTAACACGCAACGGCAGGCTGAGCACCCGGGGCCTGTCACAGCCCTGCCCCGTTGGCTCTGGGACCTCAAGCGAGCACCAGCTCTCACGGGAAGCACAGGTTACAATGAACCCCACTCTGCCTGCCTTTCTCAGAGGTCGCTAGGATCCTGTGCTCAAGGCCCTTGTAGTCCTGCTGTGCAGCTAGAACCTGACAGTAGCTTGTGGACATGATGGGACACCTGTGCTGCAGGTGTGTGCAGTTAGGCTGCAGGTGCTGGATGGCCCTGTCCCAGGAGAGTGGATGAAGGGCCCCACACTGGCACACACAGGTCTCTGGTCATGCTCCATACTGGGCTTGGTCAACATTTCTGTAAACCCACTACGATGCAGATCACCTGTTCCTGACCATGTCCCCCTTCAGAAGCCACCACAGCACTAAGGCCCCAACACTACACTGTTTGCATCTTGCTGGGCATAACAGCTCTTTTTAGCCCCACGTATGTCGCGTAAGGGTGGGCTTTTCCGTAGGATTGAATTCTAGCTCTGCCAGGTACTGACTTTCCTTAACCTCTAGGAATGTCAGATTGCTCATCTCAGGAGGACTGCCTGCCACAGAGCTGAACAGGTAGTGGCATCCAGGGAAGGTGGCTGACACTATCATCATCATTTTTAGGTCTGCCTTCCCTGCCACTGCTGTACACAGAACATGTACCCAGCTGGACATGGGTCCCGTCCCCCCTCCCCCCCCCATTTCTCACACAGCATATGAACACGCACAATCACCACAAGCCTGTGCATTAGATGAGGACAGGAAGAACCAGCACACCTTGGACGCAGAAGGCGTAGTGACACGTGGAGATGAAGACCGGGATTTAATGCTAATAGCACACCAAGTTCTGACTCAGGGTAGAGGAAAGTCACTTGCCTCTGTTCTCATACCATCTGAGGTGGGGGCAGGGCCTCTTGGGGCAAAGGCAGATCCCCTTTATCTGCTCTAGTAATAGCAGAGAGCACTGCTTAAGCTCTTACTGTATGCCAACCTCAAGATGCAGGATCTACATCTTACAACATTAGCAGTCGCTGAGCATCCCCAGCATGCAGAGCACAGCACTCAGCCTGTGAGTACAACCCACTGCGTGGGCCGCAGAGTCTCGAATCCTGAGGTTTCAAGGGTGGTGCCATGTGCCCACAGCCACGCAGCCAGGACACAGAGTAGGAGCCCCAGGAGTATGAGAACTCAACCTAAGTTCACATTGGCAACTGGGGGGTCACTGGGCCAAGGGCAATTAAAGGTGAGCACCTGTCAGCCCCCTCACCGGCGGAGCACAGGACAATGCAGGCGGAACCAGTGAGTTGGAGCTGGCAGCCCCCGTTGAGAGGCTCAAGGCCTGCAAGGAATGTGCACAGATCTGGACCTGCAGTGGTCAGTTCTGGGACTGGGCACGGCTGAGGGACAGGCTATCCGGGCAGAGTGAGGGTAGGTGGGCAATCACAAAAGCTGGTGGGAAAAAGCAAGTGCTGGGAGACCCAGATCAGAGGGAGGCATAGACAAATGTCCCCAGATGAAACAGGAGATGGCTGGTCCCCAGGGCCCTGAAGCAATGAGCAGCCCACAGAAGGTCAAGCTGGAGGCAGCTGGAGGCATGCGGAGTGATAACTGCTCTGCAGGAAGCCTCCTTTGGCCACAGCATGGACTAGAGGGCAGAGCTAGGGCAGGTCATGATGTGCTGGGCAGGGCTGAAAAGCATGTGAGGTGGCAGCCCACTCCAAATTTGTCAGGGGAGGCAGAGAATAAGGAAGAAACCACAGAGGACTCCCAGGGCTTAGGCCAGGGAGGGCAGCGGGAGTGCCTCGTGGTTCCAAAGGAGCTGCAGTCTCACCAGCCTTCTTCCCCACCCTCCCACCTACAAGAATGATCCTTGGCAGTTCCTGAAGGACCAGATTGCACACACCAGACTCTGTCAGCAATTCGTTTCACTGTCCCCCAGAATCTCCTACTTATCTTGCACACCTACACTCCAGCACCCTCTGTTACCCACCAACCCCAGGCCTCTGTGACGTCCAGGTGTGACTGGGCTCTCCAGTGAGCTTCATTTGTGCATGTGCCTTTACACCCACCGTGTAACAGCTGAGCTGTCTCCTCCCCCAGCTGAGCCCCCCAGACCCAGCCCAGGGTTGGTCCAGAGTGAGCATCAACCGGCAGGGGCCCTGCAGTGGGCAGGGACCATAGTCTAGGCAGCCGGGTGGCCGGAGGGTGAATAGAAAATGACAGGAAGGGCAGCTGTGTGACCTTGGGCAAGTCATTTTGCCTGTCCTTGCCTCAGTTTGCTCATCTGTAAAACAGACTCTAATGGTGATACCTCCACATGGTTGCTGTATTAAATGAATCAGTGTGCACAAAATGCTCAGTGTGCAACCCACAGTACGTGCTGAGCAGGGCTTTACTCTGATGTGTAACGGACGGTGGGTGTGGTGTGGTGTAAATGGATGGATGGACAAACAGCTGGGCAGGTGAGAGGAGAATGGATGCCTGTCGGGGGGGCTGGACACCCAGGGGGAGGCACCTATTAGATATCTGGGTCTGGGGTCAGGAGACGGCAGGTGTGGGTTGTGATGACAACTGCTGGCTGATGAGGTGCAGCCTAAGAAAAGAGGGGAGACCAGGAAGTGCCATCGAGGACGGGGGGTGGGGGCTGCTGTGCATCCCCAGGACGAAGGCCATGGGTGGCCCTGGAGGGAACAGTTTCACTTTTGGGCGTGGAGGGAGCTAGCCAGCCAGGGGCTGAGGAACAGGTGAGGATGGGAGACAAGCAACAGCACAGGGGACCTTTTGGAGAAAAGTGGCTGTGAAGGGAGGAGAGTGAGCAACTCCTGCAGGGACAAGAGGGGCGTTCTGGGACCAGAGACCTGATGTGCACCAGGCTGCAGGCAGCAGCTGGGACAGGAGACAGCTGACCTGAGCCCATGGGGTTAAATAGCTGAAGGGGCGCCCACCGACGGCAGTGGACATGGGGCATGGGGGAATCTCAAGAGTCTGTTCCAACAACGTATCTCTAGGCTGGAGGAAGGACTGACTTCCACATTTGTCCTCAAATGAGACCCTGGGCTGGGGCCAGGGAGAGGTGGGACTCAGACAGAAGCTGGTGGCCCCAGTTGGGGGTAGGGAGAGGTAGGTCCCCTGAGCCACATCCACCCAGCCCCAGCCCCATGCAGCCCCACAGCCCGGCCATACCTACAGACTTGGTCCGTGGAATCCCCTTCCGCAGGGAGCCTGGCAGCTTCTCTGGGCCTGGAAGGCCCTGGCGTTCAAACAATGACTGTGGAGTTGGGAAGAGGGGACCACAGCGGTTCCAGACACTGGGCCCCCAGCTCCCCATCCAGCCCCACCCGCTGTCCTCCTAAGCCAGAGATCAGACACCCCCTGCACTCAGCTCAGTGGTGCTGGGGCCCGTGGGGCCCGTACCCAGGAGTTAGATCCAGACCCTGCCCTCAGAGCAGGAGACACAGGCAGCTGGGGCCTGGGTGGTATGGATGGTAACACCGTGTAGACAGCGTTGGGTAGGGTGGGTGCAGAACCTACGTATGGCCTGGGAGGAGGGGGGCAGGAGCCCAGAGGGTACGGGGTGGGGGACAGAGACCCTGCGTGGTGGCCTGGCAGAGCTGGGGCATCTGGGTGGTCCCAAGAGCAACACAGAAAGTGCCTGAGGCCAGAGGCACCAAGAGCCACAGCCACAGGAGTGAGAACCCAGCAGGTGCTGGACGGTGGCCATTCTGGGTGCTGAGGTGGCCCAAGTGTCTCCAGGAGAGGCCATGGGCACTTCACCCCCCTCAGAGAACGGGTCCAAGTGTTGGACTCTTACCTCAGAAAAGAGGGGATGTGACACTCTGACCCCGAGCCCCGACCGCCCAGGACCACCTGTGGCTGGCTTACGCTGATCTCAGCGGGGGTGATCCTCCGGCTGGTGGGCCGCTGTTTGACAGTAGCGGCTCTGGAGTCAGCGTCCGCGATGTCTGGCCTCAGCGTTGGCTCTGCAGCAGCTGCCAGGATCTCATCCAGCTTCTCTGCACAGCCAAGGAGACACCACCTCAGCCACCAGGACCTGCCGCCAGCCCCATGTGCCGCTGGGACCCGCTCGTCCTCAGCCCCTCACTCACTACTGAGGCCTGCAGCTGGGGACCCCAATACGAGGCCCTGGATCTTGCGCCCCAGCCAGCCTGTCCTCAAGGAGACTCCAGGTGATCCTATGGACCCCACCCAAGGAAAGACCATTCAGACCGCAGGGAAGGAGCAGGGCAGGGGACAGGGCCATTTAGAGCCCATAGTCTCCCTGAGTTTCACTCCATTTCCCTTTGTGCTCAGCACATGGCAAGTTCCTCTTCTGTCTGTCCCGCACCACACTAAAAGGTAAGCTGTTCCTGGCGAGTCACAGCCCTAGGACAGACCCCGATGCACCAGCAGGTGTCCATGAAAACACCAATAATGAAAGAAGGCACAGGTGGATGGGACACTTTCTGAAAACAGAGCTAGGGGCCTAAAAAACGGTTTGATGCAGCACGACTGGAGGCCAAAGAATCTTCCTTCACCCTGAGGAAAAGCAGCCCCACCCCGGGTGGGCAGCACCAGGAAAGGAGGAGCGCATGGGGGCAGCGCATGGGGGCAGCGCTGGAAGGGACGTGGGGGAGGGGCTAGGAGGACCCGGCTGGGGCTGAGGCCTGAACAAGGAAGACCCAGGGGGGAGGTTCTTTTCAAATCCATCATAAAAGAAAATTTCGTTTGCTTGTTTTTATTAAAGTAAAATAGTTGTTTTAGGGGCCGGCCTGGTGGCGCACTGCTACAGTGCGCCGCTTGGGAGCACGGCGGCGCTCCCGCCGAGGGGTCGGATCCCACATACAGACCGGCCGCTCACTGGCTGAGCGAGGGGCGGGCGCAGCACCGAGGGTTGCGATCCCGTTGCTGGTCCCGGTCCGGTATGGGCGCAACACTGAGGGTTGCGATCCATTGCCGGTCACGAAAAAAGACAAAAAAAAAAAAAAAAAAAGTTGTTTTAAAAAGTGGTACTTTTGATTATCAAAGTGATTTGGAAGTTTTGTTAAACTAACGTGTGTATCTGAGAACGGGGGGATCTCTGGTTGGATGACTTGCCCTGGGGGGTCAGTGGCTCTGGCCCCTGGTGGGTCCTCTCAGCTGTATCCCACAGCCCACTCAGGACCAGCATGCACTGGGGTGGGGACAGCAACCGTGTCACCTGGCTGCCACGCCAGCCCTGCCACTCTGCACCCCCACTGCACCCTCCATCACAGGCCCCTCTTTGGGGCTGTGCCAACCCCAGGGGGACCATGTGTCTGGGCCACTTGTCCTGGCATCCTATTCACTCTCAAAGTGCCCCTTTTTGGAGAACTCCTATGGTCAGCGTGAATACCTCCTCCTCCCGCCAACCCCAACCTGCAGCTGACAGTCACTGTGGGGAAGTAAACGAACTCCCCTGAGACCGTCCTGGACCCAACCCAAACCAGGCCCACACTCTGCGGTGGCTCTGTCCTGACTTAACTTCTTTGTGACCCAGTGTCCTCATCTGATAAAACCGGCACACAAGCAGCACCTGCTTCATCTCCAGGGGGAATCAGCAGGTAAGAAGAGCCTGCAGCAGCTGGCGCAGGGCAGGGCTGAGCCCGTACGCACCCATGCCTCATGCCTGCGCACCTCAGCTCCCCAGGAGGAGAGCAAACGCCGTTCTGTGCATTCTGCCAGTGCCCAGCCCATGCCCTGAACGGCACGGGAGTCCACCAGCAAAACACCTCCAACTACAGCACCGCCGGGCCCGTGCATGGCTCCCAGCACCATCGGGGGACAGGGCCCAGCTGTGGGACAGGGCGTGCTGGTTTGCGGAGTCTTCTCACTGTTTTCGTAATAAAGTGAATAATTCCCTTTCAGAAGCTGAAATCGCCATCGCCACCGTGTCAGGTCCTCAGTGACTCCCAGAGTGCACTGCTGGGCCCATCCCGCAGCAACCGCACGAAGATCCTATCATCACCCGCTATGACCATGAGCACACTGAAGCTCGAGAGAGAGAAACTGCCCCAGATCATGGATCCAGTAAGAGATCAGACCTAACTGCCACGCTACACAGAAACCGCAGACGTGAAGATGAGGGCAGAGGGAGAGCCCCGTGAAGCACACGTGGTTTGTGGCACCTTGCAAGACACGCTGCCTCCTGAGCCACGGGTTTAGAGAGGCTGTGCCTCTAGGTCCAGAAGACCCAACCCCAGAGACCCCACCCAGTGTGCACATGAAGTTTAGCAAAGCAACTATTTTTGGTCATAGGGCAATGGTGCTGGGACCAGGAGCGGATTATTTTCAAAAGGGAAAGAATCAAGAATTCTGCAAATTACAAGCTGATGTTGACATAAATGCCCCCCAAAATTAGAAAACACATTTTTAAGTAAATTATTTTAGATACTTAGAAAATGAAATAAAGCCCATTAGGAACCAGGTCTGGGCACTAGGACCTGCTCATTCCTGCAGGACGGCTGGGTTTGCAGCTGTTTGACCAACAGGGCCCAAGATGGGATGCGGGGCCTGCAGGTGGTGAGCCACACCATTTCCTCCACAACTGAGGAAGCCCACAGGCTCCAGGGCAGCATCCTGGAAGCCCCATTACTGAGCTGGAGGGCAGAGCCAGAACATTCCGTAAATAGTTTGGGTGTCTGCCCCAAAGGCGTGGAGGAAAGGGTCCCTGGAGCAGACCTTGTCATTGTTTTTTAACACATGAAAGGCACTGGGGAAAGCACCTCACCTGGGCCCAGGGGGAAGCATAACAGCAGCCTGCGGGAGAGGCCTGGGCTGAGGAGCCCAGCCCAGGGAAGGCCCAGTGGATCTGGAGTGGGAGACACATGGGCACCAGGCCATGGACAGCAAGCAAATACACACATCTGGACCTCAACTCCCATCCACCCAAGAAGCAGAGGGGGCAGCGGAGGCTACAAGCCCTCTCCGGATGCTGGGCCTCAGTGCCCAGGCCCAGGCGACTCCATCCCTGCTCGGACACTGCACCCCTGCATTCGGGCTGGACACACAGACATCAAAGGATGCAGAGGGTGGGGCTGAGGGGGGATGTTGGGAGGGAGCTCCAAGCCCCTCTCCAGTGCTGTGGGACTCAGACCCCTACTCTGGGGGGGACTGTTGGCTCTGGGCTTGGCCCTGCAACCAGCCAGCACAGGAGGAGGGCCCACACCAGGCACAGGCAGCCCCCAGAGGACAGGCAGAAATAAGCCACACAGGCAGGAGCTGAGCACCCCGACACCCTGCCACAACATGGCCCAGTTACCCTGCCTCCCTAATTCCACAGCAGAGCCTTCAGGGCCCTCGGAGCCCTCCGCTCCCCAGCTCCAGGCCACGGCACGTGCAGTGGCTTCCGCTGGGGGCTCTCCCAGCTCCTCCCCACCAGGTTGCTTCCACAGGCTCTCTGTAGCTCTCACAGCCCCCCAGCTCACCCAAGCCCCCAAGACCCATGGCTGTGCCTCCCCATCACACCCAGATGGTCACAGCCTGGAAACTTGCCACCCATCCTTCCAGGTCCTTCCACCACACCCCTCCCAGATCTCCAGGGAGAAGGCCAACAGGAGGGGGCAGCAACCCTGACTTGAGCTGGAACCTCCTCATCAGCACCCCCAGACAGGGGTCAGGGAGGGCCAGGGCCCTGGGAACACAAGCAGATGACTCACCCCCTTTTCTTCTCCGAATGGAGGCTTGGAATCAAGAAAGAGCAAGGGGTAAGAGGCAGGCTCCATCCCTCAGCACCTGGGTCGCATTCTCCACTCCTCTCCCTGCCCCTATCCCTGCCACCCCCACCTCCCCCAACAAGCAGCACCTCCCCAGTCTGCCCCAGGCCTATACCTCATCATCAGATCATGAGTGGCAAACTTGCCCAAACGCCAAGTTGGTTGGTACATGGCTTGAAACTCAAGGAGGAAACCACCACAGGCAAGAACATACACTTGTGTGTGCATGCACACACACACACATGCATGCACACACACAAGCCTTATGTCCACACACACATGCACACACATGCATGCACACGCACACGCCTCATGTCCACTCACACATGCACACACACACACACACACACGTACACCTTATGTCCACCCACACATGCACATATACACACCTTATGTCCACTCACACATGCACGCGCATGCACACAGACATGCACACAGGTGGAGACATGCACAACTAAACCATACTCAGCTCAGTCAAATGACTGTTCAGAAAAAAGACAAAATCCCATAAAAACCAAGTCCGGAGGCCACTGAAAACCAAGGTGGTCACCTTGCGCATTATATGAAAAGTAGATTTTAAACAAAAGGCAGGATAAAAACATTTTCCAGACTGAGGCTATTCTACGCTGACATTCTCATCACAAAAGGAAAAGGAACCAAAAAATTACAGGGGAAGTACGGATTTCTCTTGGGAGGGTGAATGAACAGGTTTGGACCCACCAGGGCCCCACTGACCTGGGTCTCCAGTGACCTCCAGCACGTCCCTGCTTCAAGCTGAGTGGATATGCATGCGGTGATTTTAAGGAGCCCCCGACACTGAAGGAAACAGGGACGTCCACCTTTCCTCTTCCTTCCATCTCCTGTCTCAGGAGGAGGGTCCCTACCCCAACCCCTTCCCCTCTCTCCCACCTTGCTGGCCACTGCAACCCTTCATTTTCTGGGAACCAGCCTCTGCTCATACCATTCCGCACAGAACACCCCATCCCTCCTTCCTCCTGCAGGGCCCTGCCTCTGCCATGTCCCAGGAGCAGCCGGCACCCACTGGGCACGAGCCTCCGCCCTTGCCACTTGCTTCTCTTCTTTCCAGGTGTCCTGATCATCTTCTCAATAGACCGAGGATCCGAAAGGGCTCTGTCAGCCCCTGACGGTGTGACTGCAGGACCAATGTGTTCTTGCCAGTAATGACCCAACAGGTCTTACTTCTAGCTTTTAAAAGCAAAAACACTGGATTGTGGTATGGCCCCTTAGGTATTAGGGAAACCCTGATGCTGGTGTGGTTTCCTCAACTCAGGCATTCCCAGGGAGACTGATAAGAAAGTCGGCAAGTGGGCTGGCTTCCCAGGACAGCTGTCCTCTCGGGGCAGGATGGTTTCCCAAGCTCCTGGCCACCTGGGCCCTTCTCTGGAAAGAGCCACATGAAGAGCTTGGGTTCAGCTTCAACAGAAATCATGAAGTCCAGAAGTGTGGGCACAGGCTCCATGCTAAGCTGTCCCTTTACCCTCCCAGACTCTGCTCTGGGAAAAGCCTGGAAAAATGATGCTGGCCTGAATCTGTGTGTGAGCTCTTCTGGAGGACAAAGGTCTGCAGAGCAACCCCAGCAACCCTGTCCTGAGGCTTATCATAGCAGAGAGAATGCCAGGCCAGAGCAGAGAGGAAAGGGAACTTCTTCCATTTGCTGATTTATGCAGACAGAAAAGCCCGGAGAGCAGAAGGCAGTTCTTAGACTTCCACAGGGCAGAGTTCCTGGGTCTCAGGATTATAGATCTCAGCACTTTGTGCATAATAGGAGATTCCCTTCTGCACATGCAGGTGAACGTGGCTACGTGACAGCCTCTGACAGGAGACTCCAGGGACCTCCTCACCAGAGCCTGGGCCTGGTGTCCAGCCAGACACAGCTGCCTACCAGCATTGGCTTATTAATCAGTTTGGATCCTCAATCAGTGTGACAGGTAAGCATCTTGTGACTGACTTTGCACCTTTATGACCCTGGGGCCACAAGTCTGCTTGTTTCTCTGCCTCCCTCTTGAATTAGTGGGTTTAGCTGGGTATAGAATTCAAGGTGAAAAGGCATTTTGACTCAAGAATTTGAAGCCATTGTTCCATCGTCTTCTGCCACCTACTATCACTGATGAAAAGTCTGTTGTCAGTCAAACCATCAATCCTAAGTCATCTAGCTTCTTTCTCTCTGGTAGTTCTTAAGATTTTCCTGTTTGTTAATGGTGTTCTAAAGTTTTGCTGTGATAGACTGAGATGTAGATTTGTTTTTATTTCCTTGCTCATAACTTATACTTCTTCAAACTGGAGTCTTGTGTCTTTAATTTGAGGAAATTCTTAGCCATTTACTCTTCAAATTTTGCCTCTTCCCCATTCTTTTTATTCTTTCTCTCTGTGGCTCCCATTGGATGCTGGCAGATGCTGGGATTTCTCACGAGTCCTCCATATCTCTTAACTGCTCTTTGATATTTTGCATCTCCTTATCTTTCTGTGTCACATTCTGGAGAATCTCCTCAGAGTTATCTTCTCACTCCTTGTTTCTTCAGCTGGGTCTAGTTACTGTTTATCCCAGCCATAGTTTTTGTTTGGTTTTTTTTTTAACATCAGTGACTATACTTTTTGTTTCAATAACAGTTTTTTAGGAATCCTCTTAAAATGTGCTTATTCTTTTGTTGTTCCGTCCTGTTCTTTCATTAGGAGTTCCGTTAGTTCTCTTCAACGTTGTAATAACTTAAACATCTTATTTTATTGTCTTTTTTGTGTTCTTCTATGATTTCCAGTTCTTTTGATGCTACTTCCCGTTCTTGGGCTTGGTTCTAGCTTTCCCATTTCTCATGGGTCCACAACCATGTCTCCTAACCTTGTGCGGGCATCAGAACCCCAATCCCTTGCACTTGCGATCTATATCATAGGCTATGAAAGCATATCAGCTCCCTCCACTGCCCTGGCTTTGATTTCTCTCTTCATTTTTGAGCTCTGAGGATTTCTTCTTCCTTTCTTTTGAATTCTCTGTGTATTTTTTTAGATTTATTTTATTTTACTCAAAATATTTACAGCAAAAAAAATCCTGACCACATCAGCCCCATCTATCTTGGTACCTATTCTCCACATTGGACTAATCTGCAGTCAAGAGCACCTGCTTGAAATGAGGCAGCTCAGCCTGTGACCAGGAAGGGTCAGGGCTCAGCCCAAGTAAGGTCAGAGATAATCCTGGGGGCTAGGGTAAGGGCTCCTTCTATGGCTGGGATAGAACCAAGACTGAAGCCATGTTTGGGGCTCAGCCTAGAACCAAGATAAAGTCCCCTCCTGTAGCCAGGACTTGGGACCAGAGTCAGGGTTCCTTCTACGACTGGAGCCAGAGCAAAGTATGGGACTAGAATTGGGTTCAGACTGTCACGTGTATTGGGACATGCCATGATGATGATGTTGATGGTCACCTCGATTAGCACACGCCCACCCACAATGAGGATAATGGTCATGTGCTCTGGGATATGCCCATGCTGAGGCTATTAATGGTCACAAACGTCAAGACGTGTCCACAATGAGGCTGTTAGTGGTCAACCTGAGACTGTGCCCACAACGTGCCTCATCAGCATCCAGCACACTCCTGCTTGCCTCCCGCAACTCACGAGGCCCTGCCCCACCACGTACCAGTGGAGCTCACGTGGCCCTGTGAGGGCAGCAGGCTCCCTTGACTGATGAGTGGACAGAGAGGGTAAAATAAGCACAAAGTGACACAGCTAGTGCCTGGCAGAGCCGGATATACCTGGGGTGCCTGGCTGCTGTTCTGTTCTCACTCGGATGGGATGCAGGAGTAAGTCAGAAAGGGATGTGGAGAATCAGAGGCACACACACAAACACATGCACACACGTGCAAACACACAGTGGGCTGGGCCCTGTATCCCAGCCTCCTATTCTGGTCATCCCACTGTCTACCTCCAGCCCCTCTGCCCTCACCCCTTCCACATGCCACCCCCTCCTCACCCCACAGGCACCAAATTTCCCAACCATTCCAGCACCCACCATTTACCCCTAACCTGCTCATACGTCCACCCTCTTTCCCCCATCTCTGCCTGGCTTCAGCCCCAGCTCAGTGCCCCGAGTCTCCCACATTGCCTGTGTCCACCCACCCTGGGTGCCCATCTGGGGCTGTCCACCCGCTGTCTGCCCCACTGCCAGCCCCAGTGCTCACCAAGTTCCTCGAGTTCAGCGGTCATAGACTTGGAGCGCAGAGTCAGCGTGGTGCTGGGGGCCCTCTTGGGGGGCGGTGGGGCTGCAAAGAAGAGGGAGGCCTTGGCCCTCCTGTCCAGCAGCAGGCGGCGCGGCGTGGCCAGGTGCAGATGCCACCTGCGCTCTACCGCCTGGATCTCCTCGTACTCCCGCGAGGACGAGTCACACTGCGCCAGGATCTTGTTCAGGCTGCGGCTGGACGCAAACTTCTTCATGGCGCTGGGAGCTCGGGGAGCGCTGGGGCCGGGCAGTCCCCCCAGAGCCAGGGCCTTAGAAGGTGGTCAAGGGTGCCGGTGGGGATCACAGTGCTGGCTGGCTCTGGCCTGAAGGCCCACCCTGCAAGCTCCAAGGGCCATGTGAGGGGACACCAGAGCCATGGAATGGGGGCTGGGAGGGGCCTCCTGACAGGCTGGGCTCCTGCTGCTCCAGGGCTCCCCCCAGGCCCAGGTGGCCACTGCCTCTTGGGGACCAGGGTGTGGTCAGCCAAGCCACAGGCCTGGGCTGGGCCGGGCCAGCAAAGCCTCCTGGGCCCAGGCCGTGCCGCGTCGTCGCGCGGGGAGAAGACGCTTTTCCTCTTCCCTCAGGTGCCGCCTCCCCCTTCCCTCCGACAATAAGCAGCAGCGCCGCGTCAACCTCACAGTTGCTATGGCAACCCCGGCCTCCAGGCAGCTGCTGGTGGTGTTGGGAAGGAGGGGGTGGGGATCTGAGGAGGGGCAACCTGGGGTCAGGGGTCAGAGGCCTCGGGCCAGGGAACAGGGTCGGCAGTCTAACATCATGACAGGGAAGGGCCCGAAGCCACAAATATGAGCCTTAAGTCTAGGTGCAGGAATTTGATGTCACCAGACTGGGGTCAGGGGTAGGGAGGGGAATGTAGGCCTGAGGGCAAAGGTCTATGGTCAGGGGCCAGAGGGCAGCATCTGGGCACAGAGGCCTGAAGCCTGACCCCTCACCTCTGCGCCGAGCCCCGTCCTCTTCCGGCTTCCTTGTCACAGACACAACCTTCATGACAAGGCGGTTGCCACCCTGGCGGATCAGAGCCACCACCTGCTTGTGTCCAACCTTCACCACGTTCACCCCATTCACCTGGAACAGACAGGCAACTGGGTGGGGGCGCCCCAGGTGTGTCCCCTCAGGGCTCAGGGGTCAGTGCCCCGACCGACCGGCTGCACAGTGGAGTCAGGCCTCACCTCAATGAGGAAGTCCCCGGTGCGCAGCCCGGCCCTCCAGGCCACGCCCTCCACATCCACCGACTCGAGGTACTGCAGCGCAGGGAAGGCCGGCGTGGGTGTGAACTCCTCGATGGGGGTCTCTGCTGCAGGGGACAATCACGAAGTTGCTTCTCCCGCGAGGCTCAGGTGGGGGCGGAGGGGGGGGACAGAGGGCAGGTGTGGGGGCGGAGAGCAGCGGGAGGGGCAGCAGGCAGGTGTGGGGGCGGAGAGCAGCGGGAGGGGCAGCAGGCAGGTGTGGGGGCGGAGAGCAGCGGGAGGGGCAGCAGGCAGGTGTGGGGGCGGAGAGCAGCGGGAGGGGCAGCAGGCAGGTGTGGGGGCGGAGAGCAGCGGGAGGGGCAGCAGGCAGGTGTGGGGGCGGAGAGCAGCGGGAGGGGCAGCAGGCAGGTGTGGGGGCGGAGAGCAGCGGGAGGGGCAGCAGGCAGGTGTGGGGGCGGAGAGCAGCGGGAGGGGCAGCAGGCAGGTGTGGGGGCGGAGAGCAGCAGGAGGGGCAGCAGGGAGTAACAGAAGACGTCCCAGAGCAGCACCCCCAGCCCCACATGGCACCCTCTCCCATTACCTTTGGCCCCTCGGAGCACAAAACCGAAGCCCTCATGGTCCCGTTTCTGCAGGACAGCCACTTTGTCATCAATGACATAATCGCTGATAGAGAGAAGTGGGGGAGAGGGAAGGGCCTGAGGTGAGCCCTGAAGGGAGCTCGGCCAGCCAGGCTGACCCCACAGGGCCCCAGAGACACAGCCCACCCCCTGGAGTCACCCCTGGACTGACCTGGGACAGCGGAAGGCAGAGCTGGGCTAGGAACCCTCTCCACACCCTCTGACCTCTTCACACCCTGACCTCCTGGACCAGCTCCTGGCCTCCCTCCACATCGGATGCCCCATCCCATACCCCGTCCACGTGCCCCGGCCAGTGTCCCTGCGTTGCCACCCCCTGCCCCACCTGCCCCGCCTGCCCATACCTGTGTGAAGAGAGGCTGTCATAAGAGCCCACTGTGTAGTGGCGGAAAAGCCGCTTCGTCCGGTCCTCCCGGGTTTCTGAAGGGAGTATCAGGGGCTGATGGACAGTCGTGGCCTCCAGCTGGCCTCAACTGTGCTGGTCATCAGCCTCTGTCCACACACACACACCCTGGGCCTGGTTGTGCCCAGACAGAAGTGGGGGCCCCACATCTTTGTGTCCTGGGTCTGGAGATCCTAAGGCAGGAAGGCCGGGGGACCATGCGGGGAATCCTGGCCTCTGCGGGTCAGGGTCCAAGAGGGGGCAGCAACTATGGCTCGTCTCTGACAAAGGAGGCCAGACAAGGCCAGGGCTGTCCACAGAGAGTCATCAAGCCCCAAAGTTGAGAGCAAGAAGGTGGCATCACGTGTGTGCATCCGTGTGTGTGACCATGGCCACGTGCAAGTGCTGTGCTCACACATGTTCACGTCTGTGTGTGTGTGCCCCACACTCATGTACAAGGGCCATACTACGTACCCATGAGCACTGGCCTGTGGCAGTGCTGTGTCTTCACGGAATTCCTCACAACAGCCCACCATGCTCAGACTCAGGGGGTCCACTGCCCCAGATTCTGCCTCTGAGTGGGCTGGGGATCCAGGTGTGGGGGGGCTGTGTCCCCTTCCCTGACCTCACTGCATCCCACAGATTCTGTCCCTACCTGTCCTCTTGATCGCAAAGTCCCCCATGGCCACCAGGGAGCTAGCCAGCTGTCTGCCCACTGCCCCACACTCACTGACTTCCTGAAGGTTTGATCGGCACCTCCAGCCACGACCACTGCACCAGGCTGCTACGGGTCCTGCCCTCCCGCTCCACTCTCTGGGACCCCGGAAGGCCCCACGGTGGCACCACCACTGCCTCAGTGCCTGCGTCAGTTTCTCTTATTGTAGCATTTCCCAAGATGCATTTCTTCCTTCAAGTACTTATCAGTTCCTACTATGTAGTAGCCACTGTTTTTTAAGGCTCCGACACACGACAGAACAAAGCCTCTGCCCTTGTGAAGTTTATAATCTCTTTGGAGACAGACAGAAAAAACAGACAACAAATACATGACATGTCAAATGCTGGCAAGTGCTTAAGAGAAAATCAAGCAGAATTAAGGGTACAGAGAGTCTGCAGTTCCAGCACCGACACACAAGGGCCTCGCCAGCAAAGGCCCATGCACATGATGTGGGTAAAGGGCTTCCCCAGAGCAGATTCAGGGTGCAGCCCACACAACAGGCGTCAGGCCAGGGTGTTCCAGGGACAGTTTGGAGCCTGTGCAGCTGGAGCACAGGGAGCTAGAGAGTGGCAGGAAGTGAGATCAGACAGGGAACCTACGATTTTTGATGACCTGTCCCCACTACTTGTGAGTCCCTTGAGAGTAAGGACCACATCTTATTTATCTCTGTGATCCTGGTGCCCCACACAGCAGCTGGCGTATAAGAGGCATTTAATTCTGCATGTTGATGGGAAGGGCAGATGGGTAGATACCCAGTAGGGTGGGCAGGTGGATCCGTGATGGAAGGACAGAGCATGGAGCACAGGTAAACAGGTATATGAGTGGATGGACGGATGGCCTGGGTGGGTGGATAGATTGGCTGGGAGGGTTGATGGATGAGAACACAGAGGATGGATGGATGGTGAGTCGGAGCGTAGACGGATACAGGCTGGATGGACAGAAGGAAGAGTCCCTGTTCATATCAAAGACACAGAAGTCAAGAAAAGCACTGGTCCGGGTTTCAGGTCCCTGCCACTAACTTGCATGGCACTCAGTAAGACAATGAGCCACTTCTCTCCTTGTCCCACACTTGGCCTGCTGAGGCTCAGGCCCTCCATAACACTCCTGCACCCACGATCCTGCGGTCCCAAGGCCCATGCGGGGCAGGCCTCGTCGCCGCTCAGGTGGGGCATCGGACCACTCCCTGCCTCCGTCATTCCCTTCTCCATGCCAATAGGGCCACAGAAGCGCTCACGGAGCCTGTCTGCAGAAGGACCCTCCAGACCTGCAGTTCACCAGCCTCCCGCTTTTAGATTTTATCACCCGAACAAACTGTATTTATTACATAACACAAATTCATTTTCCAGTTTTATTAATCAGACGCATAAATACCAGCTGAATCAAGAACACCCAGAGCCCCCTCCTCCCAAGTAACAACCCTACTGGAAAGAAGAGGGGGGCACACAGGGTTCGGGTCGTGTTGGGCCTCCCAGTTCCTGTGCACACCAGGTTCCTCCAGACGCACCTGCCTCTGCCTCACCTCTTCCTGCCCTCCCAGCTCCTTCCACACCTCCTGCTCCAGCAGCACCACGGAGGCCCGTGCTCTCTCCCAGTCCCGGGGCAGGCACTGGCCCTGGGCACCAGCCTGGCCTGCACGCATCGGTACAGTGTCCGCTTCTTGGCCTTTAAGTCCCTCTCCATCCCCACTCCAGTCCCAGAAAGAGATTTTTTTTTTTTGGATCTGGGCCTATTGGAAGCAGGTTCCTTTTCCTGGGCTGGCCTCTGGCAGAACTCAGCCCCCAGGTCCCAGATCAGAGGTTCCACCCAGAGTGGCAGCCAGGCCTGCAGCTGAGGTCACAGGGAGGCCGCTGCCAACCCCTCCCACTCTGCCCACCCACAAAACACCACCATCTACCCAGGCACCTTTGACGCTCACTCCCCAGTCTGGAGGCCACCAGTGCCCGGAAGCCTCCGCTCCTTCACCCCGACACAGCTGCTCTGTGCGCTCCCTCCTCTGTGACCTCACTTATCCCTGCCCACCCTTCTCTCCACCTCTCTGCTCTGCCTTGCCCAGGCCTTGACCCGAACCCTAAACGACTGACATGCACAATCAAGACAGCCCCTGCTGGTCTCTTCCCACCACAGTGCCATCCTCTCCCTTGATCCCACTCCAGCCTCAGCAGCCTCACCCTGAGCACACGTTCCACTCACACAGAGCTAACTGCTGACAATCACGCACAAGGCCTGCCCCTCGGGGCTGTGCGACCCCCTAGAAATGGACTGACGACAAGGGGCCCACCTCCCAGGACTACTGGGACAAGCCGATGACTTCTTACATGTGAAAGCTCTGAAACCCTGCCAAGGTGCCCAGCACTGCTCAGAGCCCACCAGGTGGGTGTCAACATAAAGCTCCGGAACACTGAGCCTGGCCGCAAACGCAGCTCTCCCCCCGTCCCCACCTGCTGACCACCAACAGTACTCAGCTCAAGTGACACTTCTGCTTTGAAGCCCTCTCTGCCTCTTTCACACCCTCCCGGGGAACTCCATGCTCACACTGCCTCCGTTACTGCAACCACTAAAGTAACCACTGAAACCACTGGCCAGGCCTCTGTGATCCTGGCTCCCTGCAAAGGGTCCAGCACACAGCAAACACCTAATAAACATTTGCTACCCTTAAATTCTGACTCCAACCCACCCACCTTCCCCCCTCCTCAGCTTCAGACTTAGGTCCAAATGCCCCTGGATCCACACCATTCCCAACCAGAGCCTTCATCACCCACCCCACGGGGAGCACAGGACCAGCTCCCACTCAACAGGTGTGGAGCTCCCCACCTCTCCTTCCTCCTCTCCTCGCCCACATCCAGGGCCCAAATCTCTGAAATCATTTCCCACCTGGGCCCCACCTTACCCGCCCTCCAAAGGCAGAGAACAACAGGGGTCAGTCAGTCCCTTCCACACTCCAAGCCACCAGCACAGCCCTCGAGGGAGGCAGGGAACAGCCAGTGGAGAAGTAAAGGCACCTGCCCAGGAGCGGGTCAGAGGCTGAGCTCCTGCCTCCCTGGGCCTTTGTGGACCTCGGCACAGGGCAGGGGTCCAGGCCACAGGAAGGTGGCTCCCTGAGAAACTCAACACAAAGAAAGGGACAGCAACCCTGGGCCCAGCGTTTCACATGCAGAGGGAGGGACACATGCACCCTCCAACCAGACACACTCCTGACCACCAGCAGTGACCACCACTCAGGAGGGTTTCACTGTCGCACCAGCTCTCCAGGCCAGAAGTAATACTCCTGGGTCTGGGGACCTCCTAGAAGCCCCTGGGGCTTGCTGCAAGGGTACGCACCAGATATGCAGCTGGCTCTGGCCTGGGAGCCTCCAAGGGCCAACCACTGCTTTTTACCAGCAGGATCCCTCAGATCCCAAAACCCAGAGGGGCCTTTCCTGGAAGTGCAGGTGGTCAGCAGGGTTGGACGGGGCCCATCCCTTCCCTGCTGCCCTCAGACCTTCCCAGTCCCAGGGCACCCAGGACAGACCCTCTGGGCCCAACTGGCCTCATTTCCTCTTGGCTGGCCCAGGCTCCCTGCTCTGCCCACTTGGACAATCTGTCCACTTTGGAAAAACGCCTCTTTTCTCACACTGACCTCCTTACTTGTCTGCCAGTCGTGCAGGAATCGCATGCTCCAAGCACCTGGTGTTTCTGTGAGGACCATGCCAGGGGGTGGGTACAGTCCCTGGGAGTCACGTGTGGGATCACACAGACAGAGGCGTGTGCACCTCCCGTGGGCATGTCACATGTATCTCCACTGCGTACGAAGTGTCTGGTTACACACACGCATGTTCACAAGTACACGTATGATGTGTGCACACCATGTCTGTGTTATGTACACAACTTTGTGTCTACTTTCAGCGTGTTTGAGTTCTAGTCTTTTCTCTGTGAATGTCCCCATGGATTTAGTGCCAAGAAAGACCAACAGGAAGCAGGAAGTGTGGTGCCCCCAGGAGCTGCCTGGGGGGACAGGGGTCACTCACCATGCCGTGTGTCATACTGTCTCATCTGCACCTCCTCCACGCAGTCAGCTGGGAACCAGCCCGTGCGGCCTTTCACGGTCCCCTCCCAGAAACCGCCCTCTCCAATGCTGAGCACTGGAGGGACAGAAGCCAGACAGACGATCAGGGGCAGCAGAGCAGGGGGCCGACCCCACATAAGACTCAGGCTCTGCCCAGCCCCTCACCTTTGCTCCCCTTCCCTTCCCACATCCTCTGGGCTTTTTCCCTGGGAAGACTTGGGGATCCACACAGAAGAGAAATGAACAGATGGGCTCGGCACAGGATGGGCATGTGGGGGACAGAGACAGGCAGATGGACATGCTCGGGGGGGACAGGAGGCAGAGGCAGGGGCCACACTCCTGTTCCTGCCCCCCAGCTGACCGCTCTTCCCCCACCTCTTGAACCAGCCCCCATCCTGACTCTGTCACCCACCCAGGTCACTGCGAAGAGCTCAGGGTCATTGTACTGTGACCAGTGAATTAGGCCACATGATGTATCAGGAGGGCTGATCCTCAGAACTCTTTCTACATCGGCTCCCACAGACATAGGGCACCCCTGAGGGCAGGACCCCAGTGATGACATGGAGACCCCCATAATGAGAGCAGCTTGTCATGGCACAGCACCCTCCAGAACACAGGAAGCCCCCATGACAGAAACCCGCATACCACACAGACATCCACATAACTGTCATATGGCAGGGGTCCGCCACATCACAGGGCGTTCCGATGGAGAAGCCCAGAAGTGACACAGGAACCCCATAACGTAAGGAAGCTCTGTGATGGGATAGGGTCCTTCAAACACAGACCCCCAGTGACATCAGCCCCCATCATGACACAGAAACACCCCCACGGCAAGAGAGGAGCCTCTACGGTGACACAGGGAGCCCAAGAGGACCGAGAGGGACCCACATGATAGGAACCCCATAAAGACAGACACCCTCCCCGCCAGAGCCCTTCCCAGCGACACAGGGAGGCCCCCCCTGACCCGGGGACACCGCCGGTGACAGAGCCCCCCGCGGCCCGGCCCCGCAGCCCTGCACCCCTGCACCCGCGCCTCACCCTTCACGGCCTCGCCGCGGTGCAGCGGGATCTCGCCGTCGCCCTGCGGGCTGTGCGCCTTCACCGCGATGAACTTGCGGCCGGGGACGGCGCTGTAAAGTTTCCG